TATTATCTAATCCCAGGTTTATTGCAATTGATAAAAATAACTTATGAGTTAATTGCGGATTGATATCGGTTAGAGAAGCATTGAAAACCAGGGAGTACTGGACAGCTATTTCATCCTAGTTCGGGAATCATCAGCAGTACGCACTCACCACCAGAGTTCGAACCCAGGACTTTTCGGTTACAAGGCAAGTTCATAGGTCATTCAGCCACTGGGACCCGATTCAACGGCCAGCCTATAAATTCTAACTTCTACCAATTCGTGATTTAGTGCGACCCCAACCAATGTCGTCGGTGGGACATCCATCGTGACACTTGACTGGATGGACGTCACTGGTTACGACTTCTCACTAGAACTCCAGGAAACTCCTGATTCGAGTCCCAGATTTTAACGTGTTGCTGACTCCAGCTGGATACAAAGAACTTATGTATTCAAGTGTTCACCTATGGATGAAATATGGTGGTTTCGGTGCAGTTATGTTCTCTGAGCTACGAATCTTCTCCATTATATCTAAATACGGTGTTAGGCAAAAATGTAATACTGACTTGTATTATATAATGTCAACTAACTGGTAATTCTAATGGAATATAGGAGTAGGTTGAAGAAAAGTTAAGGCTGGTCAAATCAAAACCTGGAATCAATCCATGAAACCCCTGACTGTTAGTTTGATCCACGTGGGAAGGTGTAGACCTCCTGACTGACTGGGATCCATAAGACCATAAGAACCAACGGCTGTAGACTGTTGGTGACATGGCTAAAAGTCGCTTTCAATGACGCTGACCCATTCACTCTTTACAAACTCCTAGATCTATCGAATTCCCCCATGTAATTATTCCCTATCTCAAACATTTCCGTTCCTTATTGTCCCTTTGATTCCCACCCCCGCTACCTTCATACGCTATATAACGGGTAGGAACTTGAAATGATGCATTTATCTGTGTAAAGTCCAACGCTGAAAACTTCTTCAGACACAGTCTCCCTAACTATTCACTAATGCTAGTTATCTAACCTCAAATTTATTTCTATTGATAAAAATAACTGACGTACTCAAGTACTTATGCTAAAACCTATTTCTACACAAGCATAATTAGAATTTGAGTGAAAGAATGACTGTGTTGGATATTATGCAACACTGGGTTTTATTGTGTAACAGCGTCTTACTGGTTGTCACAAAGAAATATTTCTATCTATAGATTAACATGCCTATGACATGTGAATATATTTATAAATAACTAAAAATAACTGCTTCTACAAAATAATTATGTTTTGGTATATGGGGCAAGAGAAACGATGGAATGCCTGAGTGAAAAGTATCTTTTTCTAAGCACGTATCACATAAAACTAATGTACACACCAAGAGTAGTATTTTAAACTGAACAGTTTACCCTAGTGAAATACTTTTTAACTAAGACAAATAAAAGGAATAGTCAAAATTAAAGTGCTAAAGGACACTTGTGTGTGTGTGTATGTGTGTGTTAATTCCAACGATATCAATTGACATTACAACACGCCTATTGTTAGTTCAATAAGCCTAGTGACAAGTGATGTATCCAATTCGGCTACTTTTGTATATTTTACAGTTGAATTATACCTTTCTACACTGAGTTCAGTACAGCTTGTATTAAGCAGACCACATTTTATATTCTTTGAGGTTATCACTTTATTTTGCTTCCTCTTCTTATATCTTACAGTACTCTAGAAATCTTTGGTTATATTATTCCCATTTCAATATTACTTCCTTTGGAGCGTGCTTCATTCCAAGCACCCAGAGCCAGAGAGTGAGAGTGAGGTGGAGTATCTACGGCGCTTGCAAGAACTGATCACATTAGCTTTAGAAGGTGACAAACTAGAACTGAGCAACCTTCTTATTACACTCCAGTTTGAATAATGTCTTTTATTTGATAAATCGAAATAGGCGGTTGTAGAGGGAAAGCCTAATTCTCCAGAAGAGGTATTAAAAATTGTTTAAGAGAGAGAGAGAGAGTTTCTCTTGGTGTTACAAAAAAACGACCAGGAGATGGATTGGATGTGAGCTGTGTCTAACTAACTACAATTAATCCAAAACATCCCAAAAACACGGAGAAAACGTTTGCATGTGAAGAAGATAGGGCAGACGACAACAACGTAGACCATCTAACAACTCCACATATCCGCCAAAGCAGCCAAAGAGTTTCGTTCAGATCAGGACGGAACGTCAAGAACTTGGAACCTATCGATAGCCGATTCCCATCTGACGAAGAATCATTTGATTCAGAAGATACAAAATGCTTATCAAGACAACAATTTCAAGCATATTCGTACTAGAGATAGCTGTGTGTCCCAAAACAGAATTGGTACAAGCCACTGTAACAGGATATGACGAGCTCACCATTTATTATCCTCTCCACTTTATGTGTAGATAAAAGCTGCGGCAACTTGGATCACTATGCAAAAATGCTAAGTTGTAGTATATTGTCCTTCTTTTTGTCTTAAATATTCGGTGCAACTTGTCCACAAAACTGAATTCCGTATTGAATTCTAAGTAGATCCTGTAAACTCAATCATCACAACTACTAAACACATTATGCGACGAAGAATAAACCGTTCTCAAACGGAGAATAGAACCTCTACAAAAAAACATCAGTATTCAGGATCTATGTGTTTTCTACATCACAGTTAATCCTCAAATTATACTAACTACCAATTCGTGCCCGTAATAATAATAATAATAATAATTTTTCCTTCACATTCCCAGTGGAACATAGGGCTTCAAACTAGTGACTTGAAGTTGCTGTAGCAGTGTTTATTTTTACAGGAAGAGGTTGCTAGCTTCATGCCCAACCTTTCCTTTTTACCAGCATTATTTCTGGCTTAGCGAGTAAAGAAGTGCATGGGTGGCCTGGGATCGAACCCCGGACCATGTGCATGGTCGGCGAGCGTCCTAACCGCTGCGCTGCCGACGCTATCGTGCCCATAGGGACAGCGATATCCTGATATTGATCCGAATCTCAGATTTTAAAGTGTTGCTGACTCCAGATGGACTCACAGAACCAATGTATACATTACTTTAGTGAAACTGTGAATTATAGTCAATGAAAAAATTTTCTTAATCTTTGTGTCAACAGTCCTATAAAGAGTCTTCTTTTCCAAGATATTCTTTTTATCAGGTATAAATAACCGTCAGATACTGCTAAGCGACGATACATCTTGTTTCCTTACATAACCTACCAAATCTTGTGCACACAAAAGAAAACATCATGAAGACATGACTTGTTAGCTAAAGCACTCGGATTTGAGTCAGTGGGTATCTGGTTCAAGTCCCACTCGACCTCCTTCAGCCTAGGCAACTGCGCAGTATCATCAATCTTCACATGGCAAGTGTGGCTCATAGCCGACCAAACACATAAAATATGTGCTTTGAGTAACTGAGTTCAAACTAAACTACTAAACTCCTTTTATACTTCAGTCGATTTCCCTTCAAATTACGATACTTGCCGATTCGAATGGCTCTTGACATATCAGTCATCTAAGATGAATCTGTAGGGATCTATTGATTCCTACTAAACTCAGACTGAACACCACTACTATTTTCACACAACGTTAGATACACGATAGTAGACTACTCTGGAATAAGATTTTAATAAATAACTATTTACCTCCTTCTTAAACACTAATTTGCTCTTTTAACTTTTACGTCTGATGCAAGGAAAATTTTCAATTGCATATTTCCTAAGTTTATTTAAGCAGGTATAGCCATGCATGCAATGGTTTAGAATCTCGTGCTTACCCATTGGATATCATAATACTCTAACATAATCAATTCTCCATTTCTACCAATCGTATTTATGACTTTTGAAATGGCCATTACTAAAGTGAAATACTTTGTGCGTCGATGGTCTAGTGGTAGAATACTGGTCAACCACACAAGTGATCTGGGTTCAATTCTCGGCTGATGCACTCCTTAACTTCATTTAACTGATAGTTGACCTAGTACAGCAGGAAGAATGGATGTGGGGCTGGCAACCTCACCCCGTAAAAATGACCAGTGGTACTGAAACTTAAAAGGTATGAGTCAAAAAGAATAATAATATGGAGGAACCATATAGTTTTATTGGGTATTATAAGTCTCAAAGAGTGGATGCATCTGCGCCGGCCATCAAGAACGGTCTTGAGCCATATCACCGATTGTCTCCAGACCTTGGTTTATACCGTCCCGAGGACCCCCAACGAGTGTGGAAGTCTGCACTTCCCTACTTGGCTGGCTTGAACTAACTGTTATGGATTTCGTTGACTGATGAAACCATGTTTTGGTTTGACCACCACGTGCTAGCTCCTCTCCAACCTGATCCATCCTATGTCACTCAGCTTACATTGCCCATCGAGGAAGGCGATGGCTAACCATCCGTCTCAATCGATGTAACTTCACAGCGTCGTCGGTTGATTTTCCCTCCTTACCTACCACTCGACCGATGCGTTACCTCAATATTGCTCACCCTACTATACCACTTCACACGGGAGATAGAACGCAGGCACCTATGATCGAAGACAGTTAATCTTTTCATGTCTTCCAACCTTTAAGAAATGTATTAACACTGAGCTTAATCAAGCAGTAAAATACAAAGGTATAATAATAATCATATTACAGATTTTATCTACAGAGTCTGATTAGTAGTTAGTTAAGTGCAGTTGAATTGACCACCATCTAATCACTGGGAACGATTGGCTATTAGATGCCTAACCGAGTTTCGCTTTTATTACTTTGCATTCCGAGTGGGACACAGGGTTTCAAGCTGCGACTTTGAAGTTTCGGTAGCAGTGGTTTAACTTTTTACAAGATCGGGTTGCTAGCCTCACGTCCCTAAAGTTCCCTTCTTACCGGGCTTAATACCAACTAAGCGACGTTTAAGAGTGAGTTGGCCAAGAGTCGGACCCGGACTATATGGGTGGTTGGCAAGCATTCTACCAAAGAACCACCAACGCATGCTGATCGATTTTGCAGTACAACAAAAGCAATATATACTTACGAACGAAGTCTCTGGACGTAGGAATCCGGTGCAACATTCACGTGTATCTCATCATTTGCATCAGGTGGATTCAGATAAACCTTGTTCGAATTGTTATCCGATGGAATTGAACAACCGGGACATGCTGTACTACCACCAAATGAATTATGAGTATGCATTGTTGAATTATATGGTAAAGGACATCGATTGTTACACGCTGCGCGTAGAAGTAAATTATGTCTTAAAGCCTGTGAATACAAAATAAATGAAGAAACAGGATGACAATTCATGTGTATGACAAATAAAATAGTTGTAACCATAACAGAAAGTACTAGGGACACTACCATCCAAGCATTTGACATGAGGAAAATAAAAGACAAACTAGGGATGAAAAATTTCAAGTTTGATGACGACCTGACTTAATTTTGCAGTGTCGCTGAGTACCAGAAAGCATTGGAAAGCAGTTACATCTCGTAACCTGAAGATTGCGGGTTCAATTCCTAGTTGTCGATTAATGAATGCATACTGAATGTTCCTAAACTAGGACGAATCGACTGCCTCTGGTATTCAGTCAGTGATTCTCTAGGTGAAATTACTTCAGAATGTAACTTGAAATAAACCATATCCCCGCACACCAACACTCTATTGCTTAATTGAAAGAAGTCATAATAACACACAGGTAAATAAAAAAGACATAATACACTGTTGCGAAGAGTTGATAGGACAATCAAATATTCAGTTTATCCTATTTATTTACAAGTTCGTCTTGTTACTTACCTAAAAAGTCTAGTAATTTAAGAAGGATTATTACTGTTATCAACTTTTATTTATTTTGAGGATATCTCTAGTCGTAAGCGGAAATCTGTTGACTTTTAAAAAGAATGATATATGAGCGTCTTGAAAAACATTCTTTAAATATTTTAGTTATTTTATTGTTTATTACTAAATAAATCTCCAACTAATGCATATATATGGTTTTCTTAAACACAACCTTTGTTATTGTTTGTGATCATTGTATTTTATCGAGTTGCTTAAAGGTGATGATACTATTTTGTAGATAGCTTCAGAGAATAATCTTTATACCTTGATCTTAGACGTTTGATCTCAAAAATATTTCAAAAACTAATACTACAGCAGTAGTTAACAAATGAGCATATTTATGTATCATTTATTCACTCTGGATGGTGGACTCTTTCCTGGGATATGTCGACTGAGCTGACATTCACTTTAATAAATAGATTGCAGTGCCTGTGGCTGTTGTAAAGAATTCTCTGAGCTGGAACTTACTATATCTACCTGAAGTCATAGAATGACAATATTACTGTTTGTCAAGAAAATTCAGTACAAATAGAAATATGTAGTATATTGGATAGTATGTAATATACAACACATACTGCTGGTCCATAAGACTAAGGAAAAAGTGATCATATCAAACTGTGATATTTGCTAGTTAGATGTGTTATATTTCTTATTCGGAAACAGACAACTTTGTAACTACGTAGGACGACTGGTGGACAAAGAGTCCGAAGCATGTCACGCAAACACTGAGAAAACCTACAACTAAGAAATGCAACGTGTTAGTCAACTATTGATGTATGCATTAATCTGTGAATTATATTTCTGCGTGAAGTGTTATGTTTCTTAAGTTACATCTGTCTTTCTCAACTTATGAATAACAATAAACTCTTATGTTTTCTCTGAGTAGTAACACGTGCTTGTTTGCATGAAATAATATACTACTGATAGATTGAGATGAGTAGTTGTATACCATACACATCAACCAGTAGTGCTTGCCAGTCAGATGGGAATTATCTAAACACCAGCCAGTCATTTTGCTCGTTTGGACCCGAGTTCATCAGTGGTATACCTGATTCGACTCGGTTCACAGAGCCGAATCCGCTCAAAACATCCAATTTCTGACCACCTGTTTGGGTTTATCAAATGGGTTACCGTAGCATTATATTAATGCTATGGTATCACAGTTCCTGTTTCACACAGCACTAGTTAAAACTTAATTACCAAGGACAAGTTTTGAACCACACTTATTGTGTGAGACCTGGTAACAATACCCAGTTACCCAGGCTAAAGTAGATGGAGAGAAATTCAAACTTGGGACCCATTGGTTGAATTTCGAGTGCTTAAGCCCCTAAGCCACATCTCTTTATACAATGGCATTTTTGTGATTATTTTATAGTTGTGAATTATAATGAGGTATAATCTTATACCAGTTATATTAAAATATAAATATAAACATAGCTAAACATTGTCAAATAATGACGATAGTAACTTACTTCCAATGCTTCATATATAATGGCGAACAAAAATGAACCAAGACATGCCACAATCGCTTCTACAAATAAAAAGTATGAGTTTTAAGATTTTATGTACTTCCAAGCGTGTCTATAACCCAAGGCGAAAAAAGTAGTGTATAATGAAGATCTGTGTTGAAATACATCTGCAAATAATTTCATATAGCAGGAACTAGTCGTACTTTCATATCCATTGAATGTCCGGCTGATGGCATATGAGACATATGAGAGTGTGATGGCGGATGTTTGTGGTGTGAATGATCCATATTACAGCTTTACAATAAGAACTTTGAAGTTTTTTAGGGTATTTTTAGATTAACCAAAACTGAACACCTTCGTGCTGCAGATGCTCTGAAAAATGCAATGAAAATCAAAATATGAGTTTATTTGAGGTAAATGAACTTACGTAACCTTGTGTTCTACACGAGTACTATTCTAAAACTTAAGTATATTATCTAGTATTAGTTCGTAGGGATTTAATTGGTTACAGGTCTGATCAAGAGTTGATATCAGTTACAGAATGACTAGTAAACCAGGGAGTACTGGGCAGTTATTTCGCCATAGTTTGGGACTCTTCATCAGTACACACATCCGGGTTTGAACCCTGGACTTTCCGGTTTCAAGACAAGGTCGTAGACCATTCATCCACGGGGACTCAATCCAGTGGCTTAAAGAAATAATAAAAAATATGTCATTACTTGAAACTTGGCACCCTAGACGACTTGATTTTGTATAACAGTGAACATAAGGGGCAACCCACTACATTTATGGACGCAGAGCTATTTAGCTGCAACAAATGATCCTAGCAATCTTTTTGTACCACTTTGAGAAGCGCTGCCTCCAGGCTTAATTTATATTTATTACCCTCTCATCTTAATTTTTAGTATGAAAATACTAAATGGCTCATTTTAAGTAAAACCTTGAGTGGAATAATCACTTTTGAAACCAAATACGCTCTATTCATTATGGGAAAAATTTCAAAACCGAAAAACCCGTATATCATAGAATCAATGACAACAGCCACGGTACTGACTAAATACTTAAGGCGAATATAAATATGACAGCTTAAGTTAACGGAAGTTTAGTACCTCCTCCAAAAATTAAACAGCTTCAGGTGTTTTGAGAATATGACTTTTGGATTCTTATAATGTGTGCTACACTGTTGTTGGTTGACTTCATCTTATTGCATCAATATTTGTGAGAAATTGACTCACAAATAATAGTCTAGGATTTGTTCAAGTCGCGGACGCACTGGCCGAGTGGTTACTCTTCGTTAGTTGTGTCTTGATATTATGGCTTTCTTCTATTCGTTGGACAGAAATGTTTTCTGGAAGTCTGCAAGTGAGAGGTGCTCCTGAGAAGTTTGCAAACATTCAAAAAATCCTACAGAGAATAAGAGTATATAACCAGCTATTGTCGCTATTGTCAATAAACAGTGGGGCTAAACAGGTTTACCCAATTTCAGTATGCCTCTTTAACTTAACCATCGATGGCATTTTGGAGATAAGTATGAAGGATGCGCGTAGTGTTGGTGTAGATGTCTTTCCTGGAAAAACTTTTAGACCTAGAGTATGCAGACGATATCATCTTGCTGTGAGATAACAAGCGAGCCATCCAAATGGCACTTAATCAGTTGATGAGCACTGTCTATGCGCACCACCTAAGTGCAAATGTCGCAAGGCTGGTTGTAGCCTCTACCTGCACTTACACTAGCAGCTGGACCTTTGGAATTAGTCAACGAGCTAGTGTATTTGGATATTTGTGAGAGTTCTAGCGGTGTAATGAACGAAAGCTTTAGTGGTATAGTGGAATTTAGGGCCACTGTCATGACATTAGAATAGCCGTCTAAGGTTGCATTCACAATGCCTCATTGCCTGCATTCTTGCTCTATGAATGTGAAGATACGATGAGTACTACCTTTTTCTGGCAAGAACCTCACCTGGTTTTTACGGGTTTATTGCCAACCAGGACTGCCACACAGTCTACACAGGATTATGAATCCTAGAATCACATAAACCATGTTAACCACACTAATCCTCTGTGATTATCACAGGAAGACTTGCTTGCTCTTTTGAAACCTACGATAATCAACGATTTACACCAGCCTAACGATACTATATTTGATTCCCAAACATGAATTAGTACCTTAGTTAACCCAGACAACAGTTCTTCACCAATGTTTCCAAACACCTCTGAAGTTCAATCAGGTACCACTGCTTCGCCTTGGCTTAGACTGATCACAGCTTTTTTAACAGCAGTCATTGTTAGAAGACAGGTGTTTACATTAATTCAGGTAGATGTTCTGTACTGAGCAACTCCAGAGTAACTGTAGGTCAATCTAGTGTCCCTTAGCATCATTCTCTGTAACACAACATTCGTCCTTTCAGAAAAGTAACTAAAGTAACATCCCCAGAAATCGTCTTATCTACTATAGGAAAACAGGTAGTCAAATGCCTAAGTCCAATTACCTGTCGGGCATTACTTAATGATAAAGCCCTTCTCATCAGTCTTCACATATATATTGTCTGCGTTTAGCTACATCTGATGCGGTCTGTCTGTCTGTTTTCGACATAGAACTTTGCACCGATGTGCATCAGTTCAAGTCGCCACAATCCATGTAGCACACAAAACAACAGAAGAAAATACAAGATATGCATTATAGAGACAGTAAACAGAGGTGTGAGTCAAAGGAATAGTAATAACGAAGAACAATATAGTTTCATTGGAAATCATAAGTCACAAGGAGTGGGTGCATCTGCGCCAGCCATTGAGAACGATTTTGAGCCATATCACCAATTGTCTCCAGCCTTCATTGGTTTTTACCGTCCAAGGACCCCAACTAGTCTGAGAGTTGGCACCTCCCTACATATCTGGCTTGAACTAACTGTTGGGGATTTCATTGACTGATGAAACCATGTTTTGGTTTGACCGCCGCTAGCTCTTTTCTAGCCTAACCCTATGTCAGCTAACATTGTCCCTCGAGGAAGGTGATGGATGGCTAGGCATACGTAATACATGTCCTAACCATCTCAGTCGATGTAACTGCACAGTCCTGTCGATTGATTTCCCCTCCTTACCTACCACTCGACGCCTAACCTCAATATTGCTCACCTTATTATAAAACATCACACGGGAGATAGAACGCAGGCACCTATGATCAAAGACAGCTAGTCGGCCTTTTCATGTCTTCCAATCTCAATGGCCAGGTCTCACAGCCATAAAGGAGGACGGAGCAGACTGCTGAGCAGTACACACGCCCCTTCGTCGATAGCCGGATATCAGGTCTACGCCAGAGACGGCGTAAACTGGCATATGCAAAACTAGCCTTCTATCTCCGTGTTGAGATTTCTTCAGAGATCAATTTGTTGTGGCTGACTGTACTTCTCAAGTAAGTGGAGCAGTCAACGTGCTCTACCACTTCACTCCCTATTTCTAAACTAGGAGTCAGTGTGGTCCAGTCCTGTAACATCATCTTGCATGATTGTTACAGGATTTGCAAGATGCTACTTCTGATGCGGTGCACAACGAACTGATATCGGCTGATAAAGAAACAAGTAATTTTTGTTCTTTTGCCAAATACAGGCTACTTAAAAATTTCTTTTCAACATAGATTCAAGTTGAATTGGAATTTTATGTGCACCAGCTGACAAGGACTCAGTTTTATTTAAGTCCAACAGCCATGGCAATAATGAAACTTACCAGGCACATACTCTTCTACAGTACATATTTTTTGGTTTACATTTTTCACAAATTTGGTTGCTCAAACCAGGGTAACTGAAATAATGTCAAAATCTGTACCGCAGTTATGAAAACCAACAGAATTAAGGATTTGTATATTTGAAGACTTATAAGACATTTCTTTCTCGGCAAAACTAGTGTTGACGAGTGATTATTGTGAGTAAAAAGGGGGTAAGTTACAAAGTGGGTACCAGGTAACCTTACAAAGTTGAAATAATCCTAAATACTTGACCGTAAAATCTGATGTATAAAAAGACTGACACTATGATTTAAGAGAATGGACCAAAACTCAAGGGACAGTGACAAAACAAGTTGATTCGGACACAAAGGAAGTATTGGGTACGCGAAATCCTATGAGAGTAGCCACTTTACATTTGGATGAATACAACTTAAGGTATTTATGGCCTGACCAAATAGCTTTTAACATAAAAACTAACCGTGTTATCACATGTTAACACAAAACTCGCACTTGTAGCATGTTTTACCAAATACACATACCTAAAGGAGCCGCACTCGCGAGAGCTAATTTCCTGCAATGCCGATGACCTTCAATTTGAATAAAACAGATGTCTCCTTCGCAAAAGAAAACAAAATAAGTGTAGCGAAGGTAACAGTCCGAAATTTCACACGTTGACGCGTTATATCACTTTCTCAAATCTTTTATATTTTCCACTTTGATAAATTCCTCTTTTTCATGCTGACAGTTTTGAGACACTTCGCACGTCAGGTTTTTACGCTTATGGAAAACCTCAAACAGGACGAATCTGTGAGTTCTTGACAGAAGATGACCGTCTCATTAACTTATAAAAGTAGTTACAGAAAACGCTTAGCATATTCCTAAGGAATGATATCCTAGTGAAGTAAGGTATTACTGGTGAAATTATTGCGCGATGCTTTCTGAACGTGTGGGAATGCGATAGCAACAAAGTATATCCAAATTTACTATTCAATAATTTGGCATGGTTCATTAAGTTAAAATACTCTAGCTTCATATATTACATTCGGAAAAGACTAAAATACAATGGAGTTATACCTCCATATATTTATGTGATGCACAGTCGATAGTACATTATGATTGTTTCAGAGTGAGGCATTGTCAGCCACGTCTCGTGAACCGTTAATGCACAGCTCTTGCTACTCTGGGACTCACGCTGTTCCCTGAAGTTTCTCAGAAACGCTTAGTAATAACGGACGTAAAAACCAAAACACCGATTGGCCACTCGAGAATTCTTTATTGTAACACCAACATATAAAAAATGTTTCCACTAAGGTCTGTGAACAAATATTACAATAATAAATCACAATATTACTTCTGACGGTTTACTGCTGACTTCTTTCTGAACAGCGACCGATGAGACGATGACTGTCGTATTGATGCCTCCGCGAAAATTGGGGAAGTTGGTTTTGAGCAAACAACCATGAATTGATCGTTTAATCTTCAACTCCATTGACACTCCCCAGCAAAAAAGGGATCCATCCCTTTTTTCTTCACGACCAATACACGTTGACTTGGATGCCATTGCGAGAACTTGGGTCACATGGACAGAGCCGAAATGGGAAACAAACAGAAAAGCCAACACACCACAAGCGTACTCACAGCACAATCTCACACATCAATGACGACCTGCGCCTTCCAGTTAAAGGCATCCTCTTGCAACACAATCGCCACTTGCTAGAATGACTCCTGCAGAATGCAACGTGACCGTAGCACCACCTCATGATACCCCACGCACGTCCTCGTATCTACTCACTACCAATTACCACTGCAATCGCTTGTCACTCATTCTGCCTCAGTTCTAGTAACGGTGACGTATGCGTGCCTCAGTCGTTTACACTCTTTTTCCCGTCCCCTTCGTCTTCGTATCTACGAACATAAGCTAGCCATTAAAAGACATGATATACACTCCCTCATTTCACTACACACAGACAACCACGGACATCAATTCGACTGGGACAACGTTCAGATATTAGACAAAGGAAAGAACAAGAATGCAAGAGAATTTTTACAAGCTTGGCATTCCAGTGAATCATCAATCAATAGACACATCGAGATAGACAAAATTTATCAACCAATAAGAAAGAAACTTCAGACACAAAGGGTCAAAGTTCAAGTCACAGAAACAATCAGTTCCAACACAAGTAACCTACAAGTTGTGAAAACACACATAAATAACCAATCACGTCCAAGGTCACCAGGAGGAATGATTAATAAACTCGTGGAGAAACCTAAAAGCTCACTTCAAATTGAAGTATGCGCTGAAGATGTCACCCAGTAGGGCGATGAAAGCTTCGCAAACTAACCATCCAGCTAAGAGAACAAAACCACATCAAAATTATCCACCTGGGCTACAAATCTTCTCTATCATATCTACACTCATTCTCCCCGGCGTGTGGAACCGCAGCTAACAATTATCTCCGTATGCATTTCATCCACCAACTGGTCTCCTACCCAAAAAGAATGCGGCGATGTTTTATCCAAAAAGGCGAGGAAATACATAAACCCACAGCAGCTGTTGTTAACACTCAGTGGGGGTAGGAGCCAACAAAGTAATCCTTTCAAAGCACATGTATACTTCAAATGGGCACGGAGACTTTGTAGAATACGTCATAATCCAAATCACTGCCTCTACAGCGCCAATAAACCTGGATATCTATGATATAACGAAAACATGCTGAAAGCTGCATCTCAGATCAAGTTGACTCATTCCATGGTAATGATCTCCTCCTGCGTGCCTTATTCGACATATTGAATGGAATGGTTCGCAGTTATTCTGGTACTAGATCGAAAAGAATAAAAAATTCACCGGTTGCTGAATCAAAAGTACTTCTCTGCATGTTTAACTGTATTCTAACTGCTATGATTAATTCCAAACCATTTATCCCATAATCACTCAAATTCCAGGAACGATCCAATTCTACCATTTAAAGAAGCTGGCGGACACGATGTAAATGAGTATTCATGATCTGAAATAAAGAAGCAACTGGTTTTCAACATTTTACTCAACTTACGAGTACAGTCCGCCATGCAGACACAAATGGCGCAAATGGGGAATTCTGGAATCGACCTCGGCACCATTTGATGCAGTAAAACAACCCAACATGACCTTATCTAATTTTCGCCTCCACGATCAAATTTCTTTCCTGTTATGAAACTACGATAAGACTGCTGAAAAATGGAATAAATATATCACTGATCTCAACATAATACATCAATAATCTTTAAGCCAAGGGTGCTGTTCACAACAAAGTTATACAAGAGAATTGACTTCAAGCTTTATTTTTCCCAGATATCTGTATTACATTCATGTGATGTCTGGGTTTTTTGTTAATGCGAAGACAATATTTCTATATCTCTTTATGTGCTACACAAACAGACTTTATAGCAGACTGTTCCGACTGACTCTAATGTCAGAAAGAACAACCAAACTGTAAGTCCATTATACATCAAATTATGTGTAATTTATATAATAACTTATCCATGCCTGTACAATAGGTATGTTCCTGCATAAACAGGAAGGAATATATTATTATTAAAACAATATTTATGCATGCCTATACAATTGGTGTACCCTACATAGCTAGGGAAAAAAATGTACTTTATTATATTATCTTTACTAAATATGCTTATTAATATTATGTGTAAATTATCGAATTGATGATGCCTGTAAACTGGCGTCCCTCATGTAAAAAATGAGAATATATATATTATATACAATATGAACATACGTACAAAATTACACACCAAGCACATTGGACTGCTCATTGATGCGCTACCCTTTGAAGAATTGTAGGACTTACAGCAGTACGCCTACAACCCTTCTCAGGTTGACGCCCTAGGTTGGAAAATCGTTGCAGAGTTCATTTGCTGACTTCCTTCTATGAGCTATATCCTCAAATCTGAACGGTAACACGCTCATGTCATTGTATCGTAGAATATAGATGACGAACACACACGCGACGTATCTGGTCAACCAAGCGTAGAAACAGAGTAATTTACACCAAAGATAATAGCATTCAAATAGTAACTTGAAACTAGAAATGCCTTTATTCATGCAAGTCAATTTAACAATTACTCTCTCCTTTACACTTGGCTTATCCTCACCAAACCGAGGAATATCTTTCGTCCTTTCAAATGCACCAATACAATCAAAGTCATTGCACAAGATACTTGAGTTGATGGGCGTCTGTCTCATTGTGGATGACAACACCAACGACGACTGATTGATACTAGTCGATGAACATAGCGGTGGATCAGAAGCTGTTGTTGCTCGACTTTCAGGAATTTATCTACCTGCAAGACCACCACCACTGCCGTCATTTACTATCAGCTCAGGTTTAGCACTAGCATTTGATGATAGGTGGGCTACATGCTGATCACTTACACTGACGGTCTCACAAGTATGCATGCCTTCTGCAACTGCATCTGCATTTATTTCTACTTCAGCTTTGAGCTGTACAGAACCCTTATTTAACTTAGCGGTAGTAGGCATTCCCTCCATTTTATCATGATCAACCAAAGACGAATCTGCACTATCATGATCATTATCACAAATATTCAATTTACCATCACCTATCTGGTCGACTTCATCATTTTCAAACTCTTTAATAACAGAAGTAGACAATTTTGGTTCCTCCTCACAAATCCTAAAAGGTTCTATATCTTCACTCTGAATATTAATACCTTGTAAACTTGTGGAGTCAGAACTGCACTCTGAAGCAGCAACTCTATTCTGTGACACTCTATTCAACAATGGCTTACCAGTTGCAACTACAGACTTCTTCACCGCACCGTCATCGTCACACAATTCGGAGTCAGGCCTGGAGTTTACATTTAGCTTATCACTGAACTTGCTCACTGGTTCACAGTTCACCTTTGTATGCACCTCTTGCAAACGTGTAAAACAAAGCCGTGTTTGTCTTGCATCTTGTAACTTATCTGTTGAGCATGTACTACGAAACCTGTTACACTCACTAGATCTATATGCATTACTAGACATCATGGAGTCTTCTCGATATCCACCTCTCTTAGGCCCTTTCGTCATCAATGATTGCATTTTACTCTCAGACGGCTTTATTCTAGGGGTGAGATTCAATATACTGGCAAACTTGCTCATAGATTGATTGACACTATCTTTTACTAGTTTCAGGATATCGACAAACCTTGGCTCGATACCCTCATCCTCCATACGGGAGCTTATCTTTACCCACTTATTTCGCAGTCGAGTAGGTAGGCGTCTTGCTATTACCTCTAGGACTGAGCTCGAGTTGAGGTCGCTCATGAAATTCATCGACATAAAGGTATTCTTATAAGTCATAAGATTATCTAAAAACTCAGTAAGTGCCTTGGAGTCATCTTGAAGTTGACTACCGTTACCTTTGACAGCTTCGTATACGTTCCTTACAATCATTGAAGGTCTTCCAAACCTTTGACGTAATATGCTCATAGCCTCAGCGTATTCCTCATTAGGGGACATGGGCTCACAGCACTGTATAGCTCTTGCAGCATCTCCAGTGCAATATCTCATCAAATACATTAACTTCAATTCATCACTTAATAGAAAACTACTCAACATGATCTCAAACTCCTTTACAAATTGCAAATAATCAGCCGGGTTTCCATCAAAACACCGTGGTTCAAATTTAGGGAGTTTGATGTTCCTATTATATCTGAACGGCGAAACAATAACATCAACCATGTCATACTTAACATCAGACACATCGTTACAATTAACAGACAAGTCACCATGACTTACTTTCCTGTTTGCATCCAAGACGCTTTTTCCCTTCTTTGACCCAGGCATTTTTGAACTTGACCCAATTCCAAAAACGTTCCAGATATTGCTTGTTCAAAGAGGACTTGACCCGCACCAGGAAAGATGAACGGTGACTATCCAAACTGTCACCAGCGGTCCAAAACGTCGAAAAGTGACTTCACCGTCAGAAACTGTCAGCCACGTCTCGTGAACCGTTAATGCACAGCTCTTGCTACTCTGGGACTCACGCTGTTCCCTGAAGTTTCTCAGAAACGCTTAGTAATAACGGACGTAAAAACCAAAACACCGATTGGCCACTCGAGAATTCTTTATTGTAACACCAACATATAAAAAATGTTTCCACTAAGGTCTGTGAACAAATATTACAATAATAAATCACAATATTACTTCTGACGGTTTACTGCTGACTTCTTTCTGAACAGCGACCGATGAGACGATGACTGTCGTATTGATGCCTCCGCGAAAATTGGGGAAGTTGGTTTTGAGCAAGCAACCATGAATTGATCGTTCAATCTTCTACTGCACTGGCAGGGATATTACGAGATTCTCAGCTATCATTGGTTGCTTATGGTAGGTTTGCGACAATATGGAGTAATACAGTCTATTTAAGTGTTAGGTAACCCTCTGGAGTTATTGGTCACAGCACTCACTATTCGACGTCGGATGCTGGCCCTCGCTGTTCAAGTCGACTTGTTTAGCTGGAGGTCAAACTCCCGTTTCAATAAAATAAATAAATAAACAAATTTATTCCCGTAGTACAGTGTATGAGGGACGCCAGTCTACAGGCATCATCACATTGTTACAGAAATAGAACCATATTATTCAGTCACAGTTTACAGTGGATAGCAAAAATTGGCGAGCCGTCGTTCATTCGTGCACGATCCATAGCTAGTTAAGCAGTTAACCCCGTACAGTGATTCGGTCCCTAGATATTCTTCGTAATTTTGGCATCCAGTTTGATATTTTGTTTTGTCTTTATTCTATGTAGGACGAATACTGTAGAAGTTGTGTATATTAGATATGGCATTAGTATACATCGTACTATCCATGAACATTAACACCATCAGCCTCTAAACCATAAAGGTCAATTGTCACATGACTAATATTTCTGATTTGAAAACTAGGAACATATTTGTAATGAGATGTTAGTAATAGTGTCTTAGATACGGGCAGCTGAAGGTGAGCATCAGAAATTTTACTAGTTATACCTCAGACAGCCAACAGATTTTTGAATTTTCGGCATGACACGGAGGATCAAGTACACGAAAAATGGACACTCTGGTACTATATGTGGCATCTTATTCAGTCGAGAGGGGCAAATGTAATGTAGAAACACTATCAGACTTCCTTATAATAGCCTTTACTCAGAAATCCACACTGTGTGCCACATTAACTCTGGCTGTTAAACAAGAAAACTGAATCATTTTGATTGATATTGGCCAATACGTTGCGTCCAAACCTGCATAAAAATTGCACACGAAGAACTCTCTGTTATCTAACAAGCATTATTCAAAGATTCTCAAGGAGATGTCCATCACTATCTCTCGTTCGTAAAGTGCTGTCCCTTATACTGCTATAGAACCTCTACAACACCTTGTTCTGTGGCCATTCGCATGCAGTATGCAAAGGAGGAATTCAGAAGGATGTAATGAGCAAACAATTAGGAACCACATCTTCTTTATGGTTTGTAAGGCCTTCTGTATCTATTGAATACTGAACACCTGTCCGTTTGTTTGACAAAGTATTTCCTGCTTCAGTTGCCGCACACCATGTTTTTGAAGATAAAGGTTCACAAACATCATTAAGCCTCTGCTATAATCTGAGTCGTTGGTAGGCAATCCGAATAATTATTTTGAGAGAAAAGTTGGTTTCTAAATTGGCGAGCGTTCAGATCTTGCCACTATTTTTAGTTAACCACAGTCTGTGTATCAGTTTTGTTCTTGGTTGTTTTTAAGATTTATTAATCTATCGCTAAAACTTACTATTTAGGTTAAAATTTTACTGATTATAATATCTTACTCGGCAAACGTAAAAACTGACCTCAAAAACTACTTCTGTGGAGGTAGACTGTCTAGTAAATACCACAGTTAGGTCACCTACATTTGACCGACATAACCCGGAACTATGGTTAGCTCAACTGGAACACTACTTTATTCGGTGTAGTATAAAGTGTGAGAGTATCAGCTATAGGAGCATGCGGTCCCAGTTACTCTGCGAAATTAGTAAGTAGGAGCGAGAACTTTATATTTCA